TGCGCGGTGACCTGCTGGCGTGCACTGGCACTGCCAACGGAATGCTGCTGCGGGCAGGGCTATGCGCGATGCCCCACGGGCATGAACGCACGATGTCCGCCCGCTCTGGACTGACTGCAGGCACGCTGCATCCGCTGTGTGCGGGCAGCGCGACCACGACCGGCCCTTGCCGGCCGTCCGGCAATTTCCTCCGACCATTTCAACATGAATCAACATGACATTACTTAACATGATCATAACCACATAATCACGTGAAATTACATAAGAAAGACCTTGACAGGAAATTCACATGAACTTGGCCTCCAACTTACGGAATTTTAATTACTAAGAACATCTTAGGAAAATAATTTAAGCATGATTATAATTCCTTAAGCAAGGCCAAGCATTACTATGAACGTGCCTTAATGCTTATTGCACGGCTTAACACCTTAGTGCTAAGTATGGATAACATGCACATAATCTATGTGATTAGTGTACAATTAACATGATTAGGCTCGGTAACATTTTATCGAGCGATTGAACATGGATTGAAAATTATTCCGAGCAATAACGTGACTTCGAAAATAAATTTCGAAGAATCTTGACTTGGATAATTAGTTCCGAACGATAATAATTGATGACATAAATATTCCAGAACTAAACGCGTAATTTACATTAATAACATGATGGGCTATTACAGAAACAAAATCGTACACGTTTAAGAAAGTCGAGGAAAGTAAGGGTAAATAGGGGAAAGTACGAAAATGTACGCAACGTCTCCAGAAAGACATGTTTTCGAACACGACACCATTATTAGATGTGGATAATATATATTTATTGCCCCATCGTGTTTCGAAGCAAAATTGTACACGTTTAAAAAAGTCGATGAAAATAAGGGTAAATGGTGACAAGTACGAAAAATGTAAGCGACGTCTCCGAAAAGACTTGTTTTCGAACACGGCACCATTATTTGATGTGGATAACATATTTATCGCCCCATCGTGTTTTGAAGCAAAATCGTACACGTATAAAAAAGTCGAGGAAAGTAAGGTTAAATAGGGGCAAGTACGAAAATATACGCAACGCCTCCGGAAAGACTTGTTTTCGAATACGACACCATTATTTGATGTGGATAACATATATTTATAGTCCATCGTGTTTTGAAGCAATATCGTACACGTTTAAAAAAGTCCAGGAACATAAGGGTAAATAGGGGCAAGTACGAAAATGTATGCAACGTCTCTGGAAAGACTTGTTTTCGAACACGGCACCATTATTTGATGTGAATAACATATATTTATCGCCCTACCATGTTTTAAAGCAAAATCGTACACGTTTAAAAAAGTGGAGAAAAATAAGGATAAATAGAGGCAAGTACGAAAGTGTACGCAACGACTCCAGAAAGGCTTGTTTTCGAACATGGCACCATTATTTGATGTGGATAACATATATTTATCGCCCCATCGTGTTTTGAAGCAAAATCGTACACGTTTAAAAATGTCGAGGAAAATAAGTGTAAATAGGGGCAAGTACGAAAATGTACGCAACTTCTCCGGAAGACATTTTTTCAAACACAGCATCATTATTTGATGAGGATAACATATATTTATTGCCCCATCGTGTTTTGAAACAAAATCGTACACGTTTAAAAAAGTCGAGGAAAATAAGGGTAAACTGGGGCAAGTACGAAAATGTACGCAACGTCTCCAGAAAGACTTGTTTTCGAACACGATACCATTATTTGATGTGGATAATATATATTTATCGCCCCATCGTGTTTCGAAGCAAAATTGTACACGTTTAAAAAAGTTGAGGAAAATAAGGGTAAATGGCGGCGAGTACGAAAAATGTAAGCAACGTCTCCGGAAAGACTTGTTTTCGAACACGGCACCATTATTTGATGTGGATAACATATATTTATCGCCCCATCGTGTTTTGAAGAAAAATCGTACACGTTTAAAAAAAGTCGAGGAAAATAAGGGTAAATAGGGGCAAGTACGAAAATGTACGCAACGCCTCCAGAAAGACTTGTTTTTGAACACGACACCATTATTCGATGTGGATAACATATATTTATCGCCCCATCGTATTTTGAAGCGAAATCTTACACGTTTAAAAAAGTCGAGGAAAATAAGGGTTAATAGGGGCAAAGTACGAAAATGTACGCAATGTCTCCGGAAAGACTTGTTTTTGAACACGACACTATTATTTGATGAGGATAACATATATTTATCGCCCCATCGTGTTTTGAAGCGAAATCTTACACGTTTAAAAAAGTCGAAGAAAGTAAGGGTAAATAGGGAAAAGTATGAAAATGTACGCAACGTCTCCGTAAAAGACTTGTTTTCGAACACGACACCATTATTTGATGTGGATAATATATATTTATCGCCCCATCGTGTTTCGAAGCAAAATTGTACCCATTTAAAAAAGTTGAGGAAAATAAGGGTAAATGGTGGCAAGTATGAAAAATATAAGCAACGTCTCCAGAAAGACTTGTTTTCGAACACAGCACCATTATTTGATGTGGATTACAAATATTTTACGCCCCATCGTGTTTTGCAGAAAAATCGTACTCGTTTAAAAAAGTCGAGGAAAATAAGGGTAAAATAGGGGCAAGTACGAAAATGTACGCAACGCCTCCGGAAAAACTTATTTTTTAACACGACACCATTATTTGATGTGGATAACATATATTTATCGCCCCATCGTGTTTTGAAGCAAAATCTTACACATTTAAAAAAGTCGAGGAAAATAAGGGTAAATAGGGGCAAGTACGAAAATGTAAACAACGTCTCTGGAAAGACTTGTTTTCAAACACGACACCATTATTTGATGAGGATAACATATATTTATTGCCCCATCGTGTTTTGAAATAAAATCGTACATGTTTAAAAAAGTAGAGGAAAGTAACGGTAAATAGGGGCAAGTATGAAAATGTACGCAACGTCTCCAGAAAAACATATTTTCGAACACGACACCATTATTTGATGTGGATAACATATATTTATCGCCCCATCGTGTTTCGAAGCAAAATTGTACACGTTTAAAGAAGTCGAGGAAAATAAGGGTAAATGGTGACAAGTACGAAAAATGTAAGCGACGTCTCCGAAAAGACTTGTTTTCGAACACGGCACCATTATTTGATGTGGATAACATATATTTATCGCCCCATCGTGTTTTGAAGCAAAATCGTACACGTATAAAAATTCAAGGAAAGTAAGGTTAAATAGGGGCAAGTACGAAAATATACGCAACGTCTCCGGAAAGACTTGTTTTCGAATACGACACCATTATTTGATGTGGATAACATATATTTATCGTCCATCGTGTTTTGAAGCAATATCATACATGTTTAAAAAAGTCCAGGAACATAAGGGTAAATAGGGGTAAGTAAGAAAATGTACACAACGTCTCTGGAAAGACTTGTTTTCGAACACGACACCATTATTTGATGTGAATAACAAATATTTATCGCCCTATCATGTTTTAAAGCAAAATCGTACACGTTTAAAAAAGTCGAGAAAAATAAGGATAAATAGAGGCAAGTACGAAAGTGTACGCAACGACTCCGGAAAGGCTTGTTTTCGAACATGGCACCATTATTTGATGTGGATAACATATATTTATCGCCCCAAAGTGTTTTGAAGCAAAATCGTACACGTTTAAAAATGTCGAGGAAAATAAGAGTAAATA